TTCAGTAGATTGTTTTGATGGACATTTACTGATCGTTTTAATGATGTTAACTTGTATTTAAAAATCAGTCCTCCCACTTCAGTAGATTGTTTTGATGGACATTTACTGATCGTTTTAATGATGTTAACTTGTATTTAAAAATCAGTTCTCCCACTTCAGTACTTTGTTTTGATGTACAATTACTGATCGTTTTAATGATGTTAACTTGTATTTAAAAATCAGTTCTCCCACTTCAGTTGGCTGCGTGTTTTAATGTCACTAACAGGTTAGAATTCCAGCGATGTGAGTCATAGCGTTGATGACACAGGAAAAACGCAGTTAAAGGTAAACACTGCAAAGAGATGCAACGTGTCCCTGATTTAGCCTAAGCTTTTGTTTCTAATCGTTCAGATATTTCAGACGGAAAGTTTAATATCTTGTAGCTTGTTCTGCAGCACCTTATCGTTCAGTTGAGAAAGAGTAGATCTTAATTTATCATCTTATATTTTTCATCAGAAAAGTTTGTAGTTTGTCGGAAAACAAAACCATTTTTTTCCACTTTTTGAAGTGTCGAAAGTTTGCAAAATAGAAATAGAAATTCAAATCAAAAATATGGTGTGGCTAGAAATAACAACTACGCAGTATATCTCAGTGGTACAATATAATCAAAAAAATACTTTAGGTGTGAAAAAAAAGGTGCAGCCAAAAAAGGATTGAGCGTGCGAGTTAAAGGAACGAAACCAAAATAGGTTGTCAAGCTGGTAGATACATTTATAGCATTGATAAGATTTTACAGCAAATGTTCATTCATTAGTTAGCCTGGCCACGTTTTTTGTTGAACTTAGGGCATGATAGTGGGTAATACAAAATACGCGGCCTAGATAACTAATGAATGAATATTTGTTGTAAAATTCTTATCAATGCTATAAGTGCAGCTACCAGTTTGGCCACCAATTTTTATTTCATTTATTTAAATCACACGCTCAATCCATTTTATCCGCACTTTTTTTTTTAACACCTAAGGTGTTTCTGATTACATATTGTTGCGTCAGCGAGGTCACGTGACTAGTGTCACGCCACTCGTTCTCTCGAACCTTCGGGAATTTTCGGGAGATTACTAGATATAGGGTAGTCTGGTATATATATATGATGGTGACAAGGTGACGAGACAATGTGTGTAGGTAGCGAGTAATTGAACTGCAGTCAGAAAGTATTGTTGAAGTTAAAGTTCGTTGTTAAAACGTTTGTTATAGAGCGACTGTTGAAAATAAGTGTATCGGTAAAGTTATATTCAGAAAGAATAAACCAGTTTTATTAAGTAAGGACTTGTGTCGCTAAAGTTTCGTCGGAACGAAGTTACGGAAAATCAATTAACGACTGGAGGCGTAACAATATCATAACTTTTGTCAATATACACCAACAAACCACAGCTAGTAAGAAAGTGACATTCGACAATAACCAACATTAGCTTTAGGAACGCGACCACATTATTTGGAACAGACCTATACTTTATAGAACCAACCAGATCCTTTAAAATATATGGTGGTAGTTTTTTCTCTGTAAAACAGTGTTAATAGCTTTTTTTTCTAACAACGCCATGGAATTTAGATTAACAGTTTTTTTCATCACCCGCATGCACTCGGTACAGTCGTATCAAGCATCATTATTTACATTAATTGCTTAAGCTAATATCACGTGACGCTAAAAGTTCTTTAATTAGGAAAATGTCATACAATTTAGTCAATCTGTGTTTAAAAATTGGCAATGAATAATAACTGTTTACCCGTATGATGTTTTGATATTTGAGCTAGAAACCATTAATCTAGTTTTCTTGGCCTAACCAATACTTGTGTATCTGGATGTGTTTTCACCCTATAATTTTGCTTATAATCAGCCATCTTAATCAAAAACTAAAAACGGTCAAACATGAGCGGTTTTTGTTTAATAACTTTGCACGTGTGTCTTATATTTAGACCGCATTTGACACCTAATTGTAGGTTATAAAGTTCTATCAGGGTACAAAATTTGAAAAAAATACATAAAAGATAAGAATGTTTTTCTATCAAATAAAGTTTCTGTAGTTTCGGTGTGAAAAAGAGAATAAATTCAATCAAAATTCGAGATGTTATATCTGGTGTATTTATTAATAGATTGTCTTGAATTGTAGATATTATATCTGGTGAATTTATAATATATTGTCTTGAATTGGAGATGTTATATCTGGTGTATTTATTAATATATTGTCTTGAATTGGAGATGTTATATCTGGTGTATTTGTTAATGTATTGTTTTGAATTGGAGATGTTATATCTGGTGTATTTATTAATGGATTGTCTTGAATTGGAGATGTTATATCTGGTGTATTTATGAGTATATTGTCTTGAATTGGAGATGTTATATCTGATGTATTTCTTAATGGATTGTCTTAAATTGGAGATGTTATATATGGTGTATTTATGAATATATTGTCTTGAATTGGAGATGTTATATCTGGTGTATTTATGAATATATTGTCTTGAATTGGAGATGTTATATCTGATGTATTTCTTAATGGATTGTCTTAAATTGGAGATGTTATATATGGTGTATTTATGAATAGATTGTCTTGAATTGGAGATGTTATATCTGGTGTATTTATTAATGAATTGTGTTGAATGGGAGATATTATATCTGACGTATTTCTTAATGAATTGTCTTGAACTGAAGATGTTATATCTGGTGTATTTCTTAATGGATTGTCTTGAATTGGAGATGTTATATCTCGTGTATTTGTTAATGGGTTGTCTTGAATTGGAGATGTGATATCTGGTGTATTTATTAATATATTGTCTTGAATTGGAGATGTTATATCTCGTGTATTTGTTAATGGGTTGTCTTGAATTGGAGATGTTGTATCTGGTGTATTTCTTAATAGATTGTTTTGAAATTTGGTATAAGAATTAAGGGTCTAGTAGAGCACGTCCACTGAAAATGTGTGATAATTTGGATTACCACAGTCCAAGCTACAGAAAGTGGAAAATTGCTAAACTATCACTTCTGTTAATAACACACAGTGTTATTAAAGGTTATCTTGGCTGCACGACACATTACCGTGCATCTTGATTTTATCATTCTACCAGCGGGATACTCTAACAAGATCAGCTTATTCTTGCTACCAGCGGGATACTCTCTGATATGATCATCTTATCCTTACCACCAGTGGATACTCTCTGGTATTATCAGCTTATCCTTATTAACAGTGGCATACTCTCTGATATGATCATCTTATTCTTACTAACAGTGAGATGCTCTCTGATATGATCATCTTATTCTTACCACCAGTGGATACTCTCTGGTATTATCAGCTTATCCTTATTAACAGTGGCATACTCTCTGATATTATCAGCTTATCCTTACTACCAGTGGATACTCTCTGATATGATCAGCTTATCCATACTTACAATGGTTATCTATCTGATGTGATCTGTCTGTCTTAACTGGCGGTGGAGTATTGTTTGGTAGAGCACATATTAAAGAAAAAATTAGCTTATGCAGAACCAAATTTTGTGAAATCAAAATCCTTCCTTGCTAAAAAATATTCTGAATTAAAACCAAGAATTAGAAAAGAACTAAAAGTCGTTATTTTGAACCCTGCTTTCAGGGGGAGGGAAGTTATGATTAATGTCACAGTTTTACAGATCAACAATATTAGTCCATAGTTCTGATAATAACACTTTGTACAATGTGTGCACTTTCAGGTGTGAATTCACATAAACATTGTGTAATGTGTGAACTTTCAGGTGTGAATTCACATAAATATTGTGTAATGTGTGCACTTTCAGGTGTGAATTCACATAAACATTGTGTAATGTGTGCACTTTCAGGTGTGAATTCACATAAACATTGTGTAATGTGTGCACTTTCAGGTTGAGTTCATATAAACATTGTGTAATGTGTGCACATAAACATTAACAATAAAATATAAAAATGTTTTCAGTTTCTATTTGGTGAAATTATAAAGTATGTCATAAACCTATTGTAGTGTCCCCTCTCAAGCGTCAACAACTTACGTCATAAACCTATTGTAATTTCCCCTCTCAAGCGTCAAAAACCTACGTCATAAACCTATTGTAGTTTCTCCTAACAGGCATCTAAAACTTACGTCATGAGCCTATTGTAGTGTCCCCTCTCAAGCGTCAAAAACCTACGTCATAAGCCTATTGTAGTTTCTCCTAACAGACTTCTAAAACTTACGCCATAAAGATTATTGTAGTTTCTCCTAACAGACTTCTAAAACTTACGTCATAAAACTATTGTAGTTTCTCCTAACAGACTTCTAAAACTTACGTCATAAAGATTATTGTAGTTTCTCCTAACAGACTTCTAAAACTTACGTCATAAAGATTATTGTAGTTTCTCCTAACAGACTTCTAAAACTTACGTCATAAAGATTATTGTAGTTTCTCCTAACAGACTTCTAAAACTTACGTCATAAAGATTATTAAAATACTTTCTTTCACGTTCCAGAAATGAAAGTTGGAAAAACTGTTACTTGATGTTCCACATAAAATGTGTCGTCTGGATCATCTCATGCTAAGAAAGTTTAAATACACACTAACGGAATCATACCAAGTTTATAAGAATACTAGTTTCGACATTTCACATGTTCTCTTCAGTTCAACGTTGTTTTATTGATAAATTCCTTTATACTGTATTGTGTATTTACCTATTATAATGTTCTAAGAAGTTTGGTTTTATCTTGATTATAAAATGTTCACGTGTCGTCTAGATCAACTCATGTTTTGGATGACATCAAAGTAGACGTTCTAAGAAGTTTAGTTGTCTACGTGTTGACGAATAACTTGAAAAACGTGTTTCCTTTGACATACGTTTTCTAGATCAGTTCATGTTGGCTGCTATCCAAATTAATATTTCTTTAGGGTTTATGCTTGATAATGTCGTCCATTTTTTATAAGTTGAAACAAATTTAATCTCTCGAGTATAAACACGGAAGAAATAAATTTTATCTAAACGCCACGTTCTGTTAATGAGGGAGTTGGTTGAACCCGGATTAAATCAAGGGTGTGTATCTAACTTCCACGTGATACATGTGAGCTGAGTTACCCCTCAACAGACATTATTAGTAAACAACAAAAGTCCCGGTACATTGAGGAATTTTAGGTGATGCAAGCACGTGATCGGCACGTAAACGTTTTCTACCACCATTATCTTGAGACATTTACCGAGTTCAAAAGAACCATTGGTTGTTCTTATGTATAAGTACTCCTTTTCGTCTGTCCTGTTTCTTGGTTTCTCTAAATACCGTGTCACCTTTCAAGTAAACAAAAAACGGTTTGTAACTCATTCAATATGATATCAACTAATGATAAAACGGTTTGTAACTCATTCAATATGATATCAACTAAAGATAAAACGGTTTGTAACTCATTCAATATGATATCAACTAAAGATAAAACGGTTTGTAACTCATTCCATATTATATCAACTAAAGATAAAACGGTTTGTAACTCATTCAATATGATATCAACT